GTCTTACCATCAAAAGACGCTAGTGCTGGTGGTTTGAAATTCTCTAGAACTTAATCATCCCAAATAGCTTTTGACAGAGTTTGGGAATCCAGGGACTCTTCCTCTGCCTCTCATTCCTGTTGGCTTTGATTCTGCAGAACCTTGACACTAGGGGTGAGCAAGGGACAGGTCGATATGGGTTATGACTAACCCTAACCTTGTCCTAAATTTTGATCGGGTTATTTTAATGACCCTAACTCGTACCTAAACCCGTAAAAATTCCGATAATATGTCATCACCTTTTTATTTTTCCTAAAACATACTAAGAAGATGTAAAATAAAAAACATGATGTAAGAAAACAGATGTGTACTTAGTATTTACTTAGTGCACATATTAAATTATGAGGTAAAAAATGGAAAAGTCTATTGGAAATTTGGAATAATCTAAATATACCAATAAATTAAATAAATAATTAAATAGTATCATATATCCATTCATAATATTAGGACGGGTTGGATAACTCGAGGGTCAACCCGAACCCATCCCACCTATATTGGGTTGGGACGGGTCTTCGGGTTGGGTTGGGTTCTGCTCACCCCTACTTGACACTATCTTGCACAATTTTGTTTTGCTAACGTAGGGCTTCTACCACTGTCAGTAACTGGGTTATATCTGGTGGCAGAGGTGGATCACTTCGACTAGGAGATAACTCGGACATCATATAACTGAATTGCTAATAATGGTGACAAGTTTTTTGGGTGGCCTATGTAAGTTTTACTGAGGCCCTACAGTGGGCGCCAAATATTCTTGCTAAAACACTAAAAGGTTGACTTCCTCATTATACCTCGAGGAAAGTCTTAGATGAATGGTTAAAGTGTTTGTTCTGTGTATTATTACCATGTATTGAATGTCCCTCTATTTTTCAAGCATTCCCTATTTATAGACTCCCTTCACTGGTACACCTCATGTAACGTCTAATTGTTCCCATAACGTTCGCCTCTTCAATGATTGTAACTCTTCAATCATAATGCCTTTTTTCATAATCGTTCCTTGTTCCCTTTTACATGGAATCTGAGCCTTGTTGTCTCCCTGTCTTGCATGATCAAGACTATTCTCGGTTCATACGAGGTTGGCTCATCTTTTTTTGTTTGGTTACTCTTAACCGGGATCCGACTTGTAAAAAGGCGTATGACTTTCTGGGTATGTACACAAGGCCTTGAAACTTTATTTTAGAGTCATTCGCTACATTGACAAAAGGAAAAGAATCAAAATAAGACAAGTGAGATAAAAGGGATTTATTACCAATCATATGATCAGAGGCACCAGAGTCAAAGACACAAGGACCAAGTGAGAATATAGAGACAAAGGCTACAATATTACCAAACTGAGCAAGAGTGGCAGATGACGATGGTTGATGGGATGCTTTAAATTAAAGGAAAATATTATAATCAGTGGCTGGAATAGTAACATCTTTAGTGATCGTCAGTTGAGCAACGTCAGCGAACCGTGGTTGTCGTTGTTGTTCTCTTGTCTTAGTACGACAATCAACTTCAATGCTATAATAACGATTGCAATAGTTACAACGAATACCACGATAGTAACCACCGCGTCCTCCGTTTCGTCCACCACGACCATGGTAGTGGGAAGCAAGAGCAGATGATTCAGTGGTAGATGAAGTAGAAATTGGTCCAAAAGCATGAGGTGCAACCAAGCGCATCAATTATTCACTAACAACTTCATATTTAGGAACATTAGATCCTGATAAATTTTGGTTGCTAACAAAATCGAGTTCTGGTGGTAGTCTGACAAATGCCAAGATCATAAAATACTTACTGCGTTGTTCAACATGAGTTGTTGCATCTGTTGTAAAAGGCATTAGGGTTGTAAAAAATTTCTTCAACGCGTCAAGCTTACTCAGATAGGCTTTTATATCCATATTCTCCAATTTCAAAGAGTTGAGTTTGAGGATGACACTATAAAGATTATGGACATTGATGGAGAATACTTTCTTAGCCTTTTCCCAAGCCTCATAGCAAGTGGTAAAGGCTTGGTACTGTGCTTGGAGATTAGTTTTTATGGAAACCATAACATAGTGCATAGAGAAGCATCAGTTTCTTTCCACTTATCACTTTTAGAGGCGGGAATATCATATGATTTTATGGTTAAATGGTCTTCATATCTTTGATCAAGAAACTACATTTTGACAGTACCAACCCATATGTTGTAGTTGGTTGTCCCGATTAGTTTCTCACATAAGATAAGAAGAACCTTAGTAAACGTGACGAAATCGGTGTCTCCAATTAGAGTTGATGGTTGGAAACAAAAAATTGAGTAATGATTTGGAAAGAGGGCAGGACTGCAACGTTGAAGATCACAAATGCGACGGGGAGGGCTGTCGGTGGTGCGTTAGATCTAGGCGTGATAGGAGAAGCGGCGCGTGAGGGAGTGTGGAAAGACAGGCGGCGACACAATTTTGGGGACAAGCCGATCTGGGGGAGGCGATCCTGGCGATATAGGTATCCTGCCGGAAGAACTTCGGGAGCGACGACGCTAGTGGTGGCAGTGTCGGTGGTGGTTGGTAAAAGCAGAAGACAAAAGAAAAAATATATTTTGTGGAAGACAGTGGGTAAACCAACTCTAAATGTCATGTTGTGATTGCGTTTCTGTGTATCAAATATGATCATACATGTTGTATATTTATATGAAAATATAGTTATACATAATAGATAATAATATAATTACATTTATAACTAATGAATATTAATTATTGCTGATTGATTTATAATAGATTCTTAACCAAAATTATCTTATTGATCATTCCATTGTTCCCTACATCAAATATTGTTTTATTCGACTAATTATGCAGATTATGCATAATTGTCTCCTTTATTTAAAAATACATGGTGTCCCATGTCTGACTTGTTGTCTTTTGTTTCTCGTTGATTTTTATTCTTTCTTTGTGTGCACGACTTTTCATGCTCGTGGTTCTACCATCTTCATCCTCTTCGGTTAGTGACAATGTAAGTCGTCTTATATATAATTCCCTCTTATACTTGTGATTGTATGTATATTGATATAAAATATTACAAGTTTATGATTAACTAAGTCTTAATGAAGAAATGTTTCATACTGCTGCTACAGGTAATACATGTTTTTTCCAAAGGACCTCTCGAACTCTTAGATCCAGATAATTGGTATAAAATGTGTTCAAATATTAATTTTGGTGGCGAGTTTTCATTTCACAAGTTACCCCGAAAGTGACTTATATTATATATTATAATAGACTTGAACTTGAAATTATATTTACGAGCATTTTATATGTGTTTCTAATACTGATGATTGATTACCAAGACAATAGTAACCATGGCTTCTAGCTCGGTTATTGTTGGAATAGAAATTTTGCCACCATATTATATTTGATTGAGACTTGAGTGACATATGATTATGATTAAAATTTAATGTTTTGGATTGTCATTTAATTGGAATAGTTTTACTGTATATTTGGACAGATGGAGCATAGATAAAGTAGTAGTCAAAAAATTCAAAGAAGCATAGAGCAAGATCCACTAAATTGTAAGTGTATTCAACTTGTTCTATACTGTGTTTGAAATTTAAAAGTTATTTCTATGTTCTATATTTTGTATGAAAAAGATTTTCTTACCGTTTGTATGCAAATGCCAGTATATGTTCCATTACAGTTCATATGCAATGTTTGTTGTCTAAACTTTCTTAAAAATTATGCCATTTGTTTGAACTATGTGACAATGAGATTCAAGTGAAACATCTAGTATTTCAAATGATTTTCTAAATGAAGTGAAAAACTAAGATTATCTAAATGAAGTATTAGATTACTTTGACGGTAGATTATTAATAAAAAGTAATAAAGTATATCAGTGAAAGCAAATTTCAATAGAAAGTGAATAATAATAGTATTGTTTATCAAATTTAACACTCATTTTAAGTTCTAACAAAATTTAACACTCATTTAAAGTATATGAAGTCTCTTTCTTTGAATTTTCAGTTTAGAATTGCTAAAAAAGTTTGAAGATTTGTCCAAATACACGAACATAGTTTATTTAATCTTTTAGAGTTATTTTAATTTAGTATTTTGTGATAGTTTTGTTATTGTTTTTATTCAAATTATATCTTTTTACAATTTTGTTAAGGCCGGTTAATGTTGAAATTTCAGGTTTACTGCTAATCACTTTTTGAAGAGCTAATGGATATACTTAGGCGAAGACTTGTTAAATTATTAGATAGAATTGTTTGCTTTATTAGATTTTAAATGGTTTTAAGTTTATATTAAAATTTCAATTTTCTTTGATTTGGGCATTTCCGTTTTCCTAATGTCCTAACTAATAGGTGTAATTGGTTGCCTTGTATGCATAGATATATCTGAAATAAATATATTTTTAATTAATTTGTTTAAAATGTATTAAGGAATTTTTCTTAAAAGTTCAAAAGATTTATTGGGACTTAAAATTGCAGTTAGCCCAATAATTCAAAATAATAATCTGAATTCACCCGCAACCTGCTTAAACCCAACCCGTCAAAACCGTTGTAAGATTTGGACGGAATTGGGTCTGATAACTCAATCCATGATTTGAATTGGGTGGTGATAATGGACCCGAACCCGGCCAATCCGGCCCGTTGTCCACCCCTTTAGACATTCAAAGCTGAAATGAATTCCTTTGTTTTTTCTGTGTAGAAATAATGACTTGATCAAGAATCAATGAATATTGAATTATACAATTCCAATACTTGATCAAGTACCCTACTTAAAGTTCTTGGAAATTGCCATATCTTCCACTTTCCAATGCCTCAACACTTGCCTAATTATTTTCAGTGTATTTTCCATACACCTTCCCATTTTCCAACTTTTCTTCTAAAAGTCTTCTAATAATAATATAATACATGCACTTTCTATGCCTATAAATACTGTTATTTGACTAATTACAATCACATTTTTAGTTCACTACACAAAACAACACTTTCTTCTTCTTTTGTTCTCTCAATTGTCATGGCAGCAACAAAAACAAAAGCCATAGGCATCGACCTTGGCACAACATACAGCTGCGTAGCAGTGTGGCGAAACAATCGTGTTGAGATCATTCCGAATGACCAAGGAAACCGCATCACCCCGTCTTATGTCGCTTTTACAGAAACCGAAAGGTTAATAGGCGATGCTGCCATAAACCAATTAGCCACTAATCCACACAACACTGTTTTCAATGCCAAACGTTTGATTGGTCGTCGATTCTCCGACCCGTCAGTCCAACAAGACATGAAGCTTTGGCCTTTTAAGGTTGTCCCAAACAACAAAGACAAACCAATGATTGTGCTCACCTACAAAGGCGAAGAGAAACATATTTCACCTCAAGAGATATCTTCCATGGTGTTGTCAAAGTTGAAGGATGATGCTGAAGCTTATTTGTGCCATGAAGTGAAAGATGCTGTCATCACTGTTCCAGCTCACTTCAGCAACTCCCAGAGACAGGCTACAAAAGATGCAGGGAAAATCGCCGGTTTTAATGTGTTGCGGATCATCAACGAGCCTACTGCAGCTGCTATTGCTTATGGTTTTGACAAGATAAAATGGAGAGAAGGTGAGAAGAATGTGCTTGTGTTTGATCTTGGTGGTGGAACTTTTGATGTTTCCTTGGTGACCAATGATGAAGGAATGTTCAAGGTTAAGGCTACATTGGGAGATACTCATTTGGGTGGTGTTGATTTTGATAACAATTTGGTGAACCGTCTTGTGGAACTGTTTCATAGAAAGTATAAGAAGGATTTGAACATCAGTGAAAACTCCAAAGCTTTGGGGAGGTTAAGGTCAGCATGTGAGAAAGCAAAAAGATTACTTTCTTCAACTTCAATGACAACCATTGAGCTTGATTCTCTATGTGAAGGGATTGATCTACATGTCACTGTTACTAGAGCTTTGTTTGAGGAAATAAACAAAGATTTGTTCAAAAAGTGCATGGAGACTGTGGAGAAGTGTTTGAGTGAGGCAAAGATTAATAAAAACCAAGTTCATGATTTTGTTCTTGTTGGAGGGTCTACTAGAATTCCAAAGATTCAACAACTATTGAAGGAAATGTTTAGTGTCAACGGCGAAATCAAAGAGCCTTGCAAAAGCATTAATCCTGAAGAAGCTGTGGCTTATGGTGCAGCAGTTCAAGCAGCAATATTGAATGAAGAAGGAGACAAGAAAATTGAAGACTTGTTGTTGTTGGATGTTATGCCTTTTAGTCTTGGTGTTGAGACAGATGATGGTGTCATGTCTGTTTTGATTCCAAAGAATACAATCATCCCTACAAAAAAGGAGAGAGTTTTTTCTACACTGTCTAATAATCAAGATAGTGTTTTGATCAAAGTGTATGAAGGAGAAGGAGTTAAGACTGAGGATAACTTTTTGCTTGGGAAATTTGAACTACTAGGATTCTCTTCATCACCTAGAAAGGTTCCAAATATCAATGTTTGTTTTGATGTTGATGTGAATGGTATTTTAGAGGTAACTGCTGAAGATAAGACACAAGGGTTGAAAAAGAAGATTACTATCATCAACAAGGAAGGAAGGTTGAGTTGTGAAGAGATGAGGAGGATGGTGAGGGATGGAGAGAGGTATAAAGTAGAAGATGAGGAGGTGAGGAAGAAGGTGAAGGCAAAGAACTTGTTTGAGAATTATGTTTATGAAATGAGGGAGAAAGTGAAGAAGCTTGAGAAGGCTGTGGAGGAAACTATTGATTGGTTTGATAGAAATCAATTGGCTGAAATTGATGAGTTTGAGTTCAAGAAACAGGAGTTGGAAAAGAATATGAAGGTTCTTTAATTTTGATGGTTGGTAAAAAGATTTAAGAACAAGTTTAGATTTAAGAACAAGTTTATATTTAAGAGTTTGAAGTATTTAGAATAATTTAACAACAACATCAAAGCTTTATTACTTAATTTGCGTGTCTATCAGTAACTCAATTGACATTAGAGTGATAATATAGTTTTTACTTATTTTATACAATGCAAATTAGTATATGTGATTGTTAAGTGATAAAACCAGAAATGAGTAAAAGTGTTTTGATGCGGTGGAGTAAAACCAGAAATGAGTAAAAGTGTTTTGATGCGGTGGAGTAAGTTTTCGTGGAAAGGAGGCTGGTCTATGAAGTTAATATTTCAACGTCTAAATTTTTTTTTAGTGTAAAATAGTATGGGAGTAAATTATGGTTCAAACATTCCTCACTTATTATGTGTGAGTGGTATGTGGAGAACCGTTGGATGACATACAACAACGAATGAAAATTCATGATGTGGATCGAATACAAGTCTGGAGATCGCATGTGCCCAATACCTTCAACACCTTATGATTCATGACTTTGTATTGATGATTGAACCTTTTCATTATTGGATCTTTGGCTTACCCATAACACTTTTTTCAAGGCTTGCAATAATGTAGTAATGGAAAATCTTCTAGAATATCTTGTCGATGTCCCCTTAGGTTGGGATCCTAAGGCAGACGCTTAGTTTAAAAAAATGAAAAAGATTCACATAATCAGATTATGTGACATTGGGAATAGACACATTAAATATTAGTCTTATTATTATGACAATTTGCTAGATTACAAGTAGCCTTAGGCTCCTAGAATAGGGTGTGACTATCTTATTTAAGGTGCTCAAATGTACTCAAGTAATGTAGTACTTTTAAGGAAAATTTGATTATTACTTTTCATTTTCCCGATTTCCTTCATTTTGGACTATAGCTCAACATATCTCACTTTGCTATATAAATGTCATCTCAACTTTTAGAAAATGTTTACATTATTTGTGTAAATTATGGTTTTCTCTCTCTCTTTCAAACTTTTGATTCTTCTTATCTGAGTCTCAATGAATCCCATTTTACTCGTTCCTTTCTTCCTTTAGTTTCTGCACATTTTTTATTCATTGTGTTTTTAAAGCAACCTTTCATTATACTTCTCTTTTCAACATCCAATTTTTCAAGTACCACTTCTATCTCTCTCGTTTATAATTGTTGTTTTACCTCCTTTATTCCAACCATGGCCAAGGTAGGGGTGAACTAGAGAATGGCATAAAAATATTCAATGAAAATGTTATATGTGACCATTTGTCTCGCATTGGGGTAGTGGACCCATAAATGTTGAATGTTGATCCTTTGGTTGTTTCCTACCCCTTTCTAAACGTTGTTGTTCTTAGCGATAGTTCAAAAGCTAGTGAGAGTTCCATTAAAGATGGTAGCAAACCCTTAAGTCCACTATTTGATGGAAACACAAATGTTTATGCAGAAGGATTTAGAGGGATAATCCTTTTATCAGGGAGGCTGGTATTGGTCCCACAACTGATCTTGAGTGTCTTAAGGTGTATCATAATGGTTAGAGGGTTCTCACTTTCATTAAATCTTTTCGATCTTTGAATGACCGAATACCTAGTGGCAATGAGATTATGAAGCATCTCCACTTCCGGGATCATTCCTAAATTCATGTCAAACATTATCTTTTTTTATTGATAATGGGGTAGACATGGCTCAAAAGGACTGACAAGGTCTTGTGTTTCCTGCCGATGATACTCAATATTTTTGGATGGAGACCGAATTGGTGGGAATGGTTTCCACCTTTAGCAACACTTAGATCTTGAAAGATCTTTATTCAGATGTATGTCAATCGTCAGATTAGTTTGTTTCCTCCATTAACTCTGGCAAGAGAGCGTGTAGTCCTTTTAACGTGCGCTCGATGCCTTTTTATAAAATTTTATTTTCCAAATTAAAGTTTAGACAACCTTTTAACAACTTTGAGGCGAAATTTTTAAATCACTTGAGGATCGCACGCCCCAACTGCACGCGGTAGCTTAGGCCTTTGTAAAGGTATTTTAATATTAGTGTGAGTATCAAGGAGGATTGTCATTCCTTAGATTATTCATCAACATCTTTAATGTGAAACACACTTTGACATAAGCAGAATGGGGGAAGGGTTGCTCTTGCTATGTCAGCTGGTGAAGGTGTTTAACATTTACCTCAATAGCTGGAAGAATTTTAAGAATCACCACCTATTGGTTACTCACTAGACTAGAGAAGCTCATTCGTCTTTGTGAATTCTAATCGAGGATATGATCCCTCCGACACTCTTGTTCTGAGTCGGTGAAATGCAAAAATAAGATTCAGAAGTACTGGCCCTGAGATTATTTCTTTCGGCCTCTGAAAAGTTACACTTTTTATTTTGACTCTCTTAAATTGAAAGAGGAGACGCTAAAAGAGGATTTGTTCATCTTTTGGGAGAGTTTGGGCTACGAAGATGGTGCATGCCCATCATGTACCGCCTATGCGATAAAAAAGGCATTATATTAATATATGCTCAAGAGAGGAATGGCATTTTTGGTGATAGGAGAGAAATATATTTTAGTTTATCTTCATTGTCCTTTTATCATGTTTTATTTAACACTCTTTTTTATTTGCCTTGAAGATAACATGGGACTGGTCCATGATATACTCAAGAGTAAGAAAGCTTAAGAGACGAAGAATGCCTCATCGTCTCCTTCTCCGACTTCCAATCTGATTCTGACAAAGACAATAATGAGGATGGTCCAAAGAGAAGGGATGTTCCACCTGTAGAGCAAGCACAAACACAACCATGTTCGTCTTTTGAAAGGTGTAGCAAGAAATCCCATGACCATCTCTTGACTTCCACCAGTGACACCACCAAAAGGGACCATAATAAATGTCATGATTCAGAGGAAAACTCTGCAAAGAATTCAAACCAATCATAATCGCCACATGGGGAATTACTCTAGAGTGTATCCAGGATGTTCCTCCTACATACAAGCTTCCTGAATTCTTGATGCCTAGGGGACCCCGTTCTTCTAAGTACGTGCAGTTCTTGCTCCATGAAAGGGATTATGCTTATATCTAAAATTTGTTGGATATGGCTAAGCTAGAACTGATGGTAAAGATAACTTTCTAGATGTATTGAGGCACTACCTTGATGTTCATGGCAGGTTCTGGTTGAAATGAGATGTTGACACCTCCAAGGAAAAAGAGGCCCTAAAGAGAAAATATGATGTTGTCGTCTATGAATAGAATCAACTCCTAGAACAAATAGCCAGCGTTTGGAAGGACATAGAAATGCACGAAGCTCTTTCCGATTTTGCTACAAAAGTCACTATTTTAGAGGGATCATTGGTAGAAAAGGGGAAAGAGTTGGAAGAAGCCCGAAAAGTGGTGACTTCTTCTTCCTACAAAATCGAAGAGCTCGAGGCTTCCTTTCAAAAAATAGAAAGATGATCGTTCTTAACAGGTGAATGATCGTGAAGACTACCTGGTGAGATAAAGAAAGATCTTGAGGACTCTCTCAATGACAACGCCAGATCCATACATGGTAGCTTCTAGAACGCCTTAATTCAGGTTGAGTTGTTTTCTCCTAGAATTGAGATTCCCCGTGGAAAGCTGGATTCGGAGAAGGAAGTCGTAAGTGGGGAATTAGTTGGTGAGGAGGAATGATCCTTATTATTTTGCTTATCAATAGTCGTAATTTTTCAGTTGGTTTCAACAATTGTAACAATATTTATCATACATCAGGTAGTTTTACTTTATTATTGATATATTTTCTTTTATAGATAGCTTTGAAGTGTTTCCTTCCTCGTTTTTATTTATCTTTGTTTGTTGTCTGACTTTGCATGACTTTATTTTGATGCATTGTTCTTTATGATTTCTTACTACTGTCTAAGATTTTAATTCACCATATATTTTTTGTGATTTTATTCTATTGTATAGTCTTTCACAATTTTATTTCCTCGTTTAATCTTTTATGATTTTATTTTATCATATAATCTTTCACAATTTTATTTAATCATCTAATATTTTATGATTTTATTTCATCATATTGTCTTTCATGATTTTATTTCATCGTATCAGTAGCGTGGATGAGGTGAGTGTACTCTTTGCTTTGATGTCTATAGGGAACGTGGTCGGGTCAAGGTTTGTTCCCATTCTCATCCCCTAAGTGAAAATCTAGTTCGAGGTTGACGTATCCAAGGCAGGGAAGAAAACAAGAATAAATGAACTTAATTTTTTAAAAACAAACAAGTATGGTGATGAAAGAAAATCACTTTTGAAGAACTACTCATCCCTAAACAGTATGAGATTAGACTCGAGTATTAATCGCTCAAGTAGAATCTTTTTAAGATATTTGAGATAAACTCAAAGAAATGCTCGGGATGTGCCCCAACCATGAAAAAGACTAGGTTTTAAGCCCATGCCCTACATAATACTTGCCCCACCCATTTTATTTTATTTTTCGGAGCAGACATACTTATTCGCCATCCATACCCAAAAATGACATTAAAAAAAACAAAATTTTTCATGTGTAAAAATTAGTTAAGGTGGAATTAAATAAAAATATTTTGTACAATTTCACAATTATATCTTATTAACATTGTAATAAAAGTTTACACTTTTCACCGAAGCAAATTAAAACTTAACCAACATTTGACCGATATAGGCTCTGGGTTAAGACTTAAAGGTTTCACTAGGATCTAACTAGGGTTGGATCGATAATAATAAATATTATATTTTTTAATTAATTTTAATATATTACACTTAATAAAATATAATATTATACTAAAATATAAAATATTTATAAGTTTATAAAATTTCAAATTCAAAACATTTAATTTAAAAAAATCTATATTTATATTTATATATTAACATGTTCTAAACTTTAAATATTGTAAAAAAATATTTTAAATTATTCTATTATTTGTTGGAATAATAATAATAATATATTGAGTTGAATTGATGAGATTAATATTGTTGCATTTTAAAAGTTGTGTAAATTT